TATGGAGCTTTAATAAGTTGTACTTACGCACAATCTACTTGTAATTTTGAGTTTTAAGTAATATGAATTAATAAACAGTACTTTACGCATAAAAAGTGGTTTTTAAGAGTTTTTATTAAATGCTTTATAATATAGTATAGATAATATTATAATTACATTTTAAATATGAACATTATATTATGAATAGTGAAATGAATATTAATAAAAAAAATGAAAAAGGGTATATTTGTCATTTTTACACAATCAACGCTTAATATAAAATACTAGGTAAACAATAACTTTTATTCGGCATTTACCTGAGTCTGATCTCCTACTCCGATGAAACGTCTTACTTTAGTCGGCATTTATCTTAGATATTTGGTAAGCAGACCCTTACTCTTAAAACAACTTATGTTTTTTTTGTAAAAATGTTTATCAATTGATGCGGTGGCAAATCAGAGTTTTATAAAAAAGTGTTTGGAGTAACTTGTGGCGGTTACTGCACCGGTTAAGCTGATAAAATAGATGAGATATCTTTTTTTTTTCTCCATTCAGACACTAAAAACTTTTTATTACCAGTACCACAACAGAATAAGTTAATAAGTTACAAGAGAGTAACTTATCAAAAACTTCTTATTACCGGTGACAAACCAATATAAGTATTTTCTTCTTTTTCCTACAAACACTAAGAGGCTGTTTGACAGTTGCTGAATGATTTTGTGCAGAATGGTTAAGTGGTCAGAATGGTTAAGATGGTCAGAATGGTTAAGTGTTGAATGAAATATGGTTGTTTGGTAAATGTTCTCTGAATGACAACAAATTACCATTTTAACCCTCTGTATAATTTAGTATTGAATGAAATATAGCTGTTTGACAGACATCTGAATAAAACAATTGCTTTGTAAATGCAACTACATATTTCATATTAATCCAAACAAACATAACATAAACAAAAACATAACAATCAAATTCCAATATAATAGTTTTTGAACAATTCACATAAGATGTTGCACATAAAGTTTACGAACCATAGGCCTTCTATCAAACCATAAACTAAATAGGCAATAAACAGTAAAATTATACATGTTTAACCTTGACATCCCTCCTCTCAAATGCCATTCCACTTCACCATACATGGGAGGCGATGTGAAGGAAGGGCTGTGTAGAGAGGGCAAACTTGGAAAAAATAAAACTGAATGGTTTAGTGAAGGCTTGGACACAAAATGGTTAAGAGGGTTATGTAACCATTAAGGGGCTTATTTTTTTTTTTACCAAACACTCCTTACCTCTTACCGATTAAGAGGTTGACATTAAGAGCCAAACAAACAGCCGCTAAAAATCGGTATGTTATCGATATCATGCCGGAATAAGTTACTCAATAAACAAAATACCAAACACCCCTAAAACCTTATGGAATTTGTTGTTACAGATCTAGACCCTATATTTTTGGCTAAAATCAACCCAGCAAAGGCAAACCTTAAACCCTACCGCTCTTTCCAAAAGGTCACCTGCCGTCTCTCCGGTAAGATTCTCTGTTCAGCCTTTGAAATTGCTTTTAGGTTGAAGTTGATTTTATCACGTCCGTTCTAGTTCATGTTTGGTTGGGGTTTATATTTTTTTTATGTATGATGCTGAATTGTTGCTCCATTTTGTGTTTTCTTTTGATCCGACACAGCTGCTAGAAGTTATTGAATTCGTGTTTTAGGTCTGTGTGTGATCAACTTCTAACAGAAAAATCTTAATTTTAAGTTCTATTAAGAACATCTTTGTTGTTTCTTCAATCATTTTGTTCAGGTAAATTACAGACGGACCTGTAATGTCAGTCGCAAACTCATCACCGGCATTGGAGATTTTAGGTAATTTGTTTTCGAGCTCCTGAACAACGATAAATCAATCTCGGTAGCAGCTTATGAATAGTCTTTAGTAACGTTTATAAGTCTGAAGCACGGAATTGATTAGCTTTAATAGGCGTCATATATTTATATCCAACCTAATGATAGTCGGCTTAACCTAAGTGTTGTTACTTACGGTATTGTAAAATAACAGAGCTTCTCTGCTGAGAAGTTGGGACTTTTTGGCAAATGGAACACACTTGTGACTATTTTGATTACAATTGAATTTTGCAGAGTATGTCAAAGCATTTTAAATACATGTAACTTTAGTTTGCATATTTGACCACTCATGAAATGAAAATAATGGGTTTGTGGGCTTCATAATGCTGTATTGTGTTTCTCACTTCCTCTATTGTGAAATTTGTTGTGGCTATCCTTGTTCCCAGTTAGAGAACCCGGGGGTTTAGCTATATGGAATGGACCACCTTTTACTAATAATCAACCCAGTATCAAGCTCGATAGAGTTCCTTGCACAAGTGCCAAATTTAGCGAAGATGGATCCAAATTAATGGTGATAAAGTCCGAGTCTACAATTAGCATCTATGATTGCAAAAGCTCAAAAGAGATAAGATCTTTTGAATCCTCCAACATTCTTGCTGCTGCTTTGTCTCCATGTGGAACTTATCTACAGACCTTCCAGAAAGTCTCATCACCGCAGGAAAAGAACGTCACTGTATGGAAGACAGAGACAGGAGAATCAGTTTATACTCTGTCCCAGAAGAACATGACTAAAGCAACATGGTAAATTTTATATTTGTGGTCTGCACTATTTGCTTCTGGTATTTGATTCTTTAAGTTCTATGCAGCTTTACTTGTGATTGGCTTATAATGTTTCAGGCCATCAATCAGATTTAGCTCTGATGAAGCAGTTGCTTCTCGCATGGCAACAAATGAGCTTCAGTTTTTTGATGCTGGAGATTTTTCCAAAGGCATCGTGCACAAGATCAGAATCCCTGGAATTGCTGCAGCAGAGCTTTCTAAGAAACCAGGTTCACATGTGGCTGCATTTGTTCCAGAATCTAAGGTTTGTAACTAGCAGCATTATATTTATGAAGTTCACTCTAAAGGAAACCTTAGATGAAGAAGCAGAAAGGAAAAATGGAAGAAGGTGAAAATTAGATTATATATATAAGATACTGATATTATAAGGTTCTATTGATACTTCATCGTTGCAAGATATACCTTGTGTAAGGTAGCACCAATTTTTCACTAGGGCGAGTGTGGCACTGTGGCTTGAATCCAGGTTTCTGCCCAGTTACTCTCTAGGCTACTGAGCTCCTGCAATCTTGAATCTGTGAGTAACATACTAAGGCAGACTTGTCTAATAGTCTAAACAAATGACTAAGATGGAAATAGTGCAGTATGTGTTAGTTGAGAGTTCAATTTGATGCCTGAAGGGAATATCAGCTACATGCTACACAAAATTTTGATTTCATTTATGTGCTACACAATGGTTGCCAGTGGTTTATGTAGGCCAGTGATGTATCTGGGTGCATGTTCCTTATATAACACCATAGATGCTTTAGATGGCAGAAGCAATAACTTGTTAGAGATTGATAGACTTGGGGCTTGGGGCATGTGGCATTGTTACTGTTATACCTTAGCTTGAATCGTTAATTGAAACACACTCCCTAACTCAAATCGACAGTGGTAACATGCAATACACAGCTTATTGTAACAGGATTGCTTCAATTAGAACAAATCGGTAAGAGATTGTCGGCCAATCTTTTACGAAACGGAATTGGTACAATTACCAGAYGTTYGAGAGGTCTGGTCCTCTCCCTGAGCTCTCGCTCTCAACTAATTCACAGAAAACAACCAAAACAGAATAATCGGCCTCAACTGACAGCTCCCTATTTAAGCACAACCCAATTACCAAATTACCCTCCCTTAATCGACTACTAAGAAACAGCAGCTACACTACTAATCTGATTTCTTCTTCTATAAGTAAACCTCAAAGGAGGTTTATCAGTTACTAGGTTGAACATTCAGCAGCTGGAGTGTGAGAGAACGGGAGATGCATAGAGTGCCTAGACCAACTTAGTAATCAGAAAGTGATAAGCTTCCATCTTAATTTTATACTCGCATTGAATGTGGTACACATGTTTAAGTGCTTCCTGGTAGTTAATACAAGGTAGTTTAAGTATGCAATGTTATTATTGTATATAGTTTGAAAAAAATTATTTGAAATGGAAGAGGTGCCTAAGCATGCATGCCAAATAAAATTGGACATTTACAAGTAGGAAGTAGTATATTTTTGCTAGATGAAAAGTATATTGAGTTCATACTTCAGAATTTCTCAACTTTATGTTCATTACACATAGCCTAATTGAGTGTTACAAGCTTTGGCAATTTATTGCCATCGAGCAACATGAGGGTGTTTCATACTGAATGGAGTGTTTTCTAATGGCAGGCACTGTTTGGTTCAGGAAACAGTGAATCCCCCTGGCAAGAGTCCGCTTCTTGTTTTTCTCATGGATGAGGGCTTCATTCTTGATGTTTTACCTGATTTATCTTGATCTGTAGGGAATGCCTGCTAGCGTTCAGATATATGCTTGTGCACCTGATTCTCAGAGTCAACCTATTGCTCGTAGAAGTTTCTTCCGGTGTTCAACAGTGCAGCAACACTGGAACCATGGTTCTACAGGGGTTCTGGTTGTGGTGCAGTCAGATGTTGATAAAACCAACCAGAGTTACTATGGAGAATCAAAGTTAAATTACTTGACTTTAGATGGGACTCATGATGGACTTGTGCCCCTTCGTAAGTTTGTCTTTCTTGCTAACAGACTATAACATGCCATTTAGGCTATGATCATGTAAGCTAAAGACACTTCCAAATACATTACCAAATGCACAATATCAGAAAATTATCAAGCATATAATATATTTCAGTAGGTGTTAGATTGCTAATTAAGGATTTTTGGCAGGCAAAGAAGGGCCTGTACATGATGTTCAATGGTCATACTCAGGAAAAGAGTTTGCAGTTGTTTATGGATGTATCCTTCTCTTCATTCTAAAATACATATGAACTGGCAGCTAAGATAAATATAGCTAATATTTAAGGCTGAAGCTGTTATATAGATGGGAGGGAATATGCTTTTGGAAGTCGTGCTTCCAATTTTCTTCATACAACTATAAATCGGAATATGATGATCATGTATTACATATATCATCAATTTTTATGGCTAATTTGTGCTTCCAATTTTCTTCATACAACTGTAAATCGGAATGTGATGATCATGTATTACACATCTCACAAATTTTTATGGCTAATTTTGCACTTATTTTGCTTTTTCATTGTTCATATATGCAACTACTTCCCATGTGACTGCTTTTCGACATTTTAGGTATATCTTATTTCTCTTCCATGTGCTTTTATGTCGTTTCTGCTAGAGATAGGTCGGAGGATGAGTGAGTCACTTGGTCTTTAAGATTCTTTCTGTCAATGCTCAAATACCTATTTTCTGTTTACTTGACACGCAATAGTCATGCCTGCGATGGCAACAATTTTTGACAAGAAGTGCAACCCTCTGCTGGAGCTTGGGACAGGCCCTTACAATACCATTCGCTGGAACCCAAAGGGAAGATGTATCCTTCAAGATATAGTTTGTTGCTTACGCTCTGCATGCTGAAATACTTCCAAAAATATTTCTGAGTGCTGGTAGTGCACATTGTTTAAAGAATGTTTTGGCCTTAATCTTTTTTCTACAGTTATATGTGTCGCTGGGTTTGGTAACCTACCAGGTGACATGGTATGTTTCCAGATGATGATACCTGTCTTCTTTTCTTGTTGCTAAACAAGTCTCTCTGCAATGCAACTATTAACATCAGTCCTTTTTGTTATTCCTCCCCCCTCCCCTGAGTTAATTGAAGCAGCAAAAATATATGCTTCCTACGCCCCTTTGAATAATTTGCCACACTTTCCTTCTTGAGATATCTCATGAAATTTGCAACATCTTTGAAAGATTCCAAGTATAAGTTACATATTTCCCCATCATCATTGTTTCTACAACTTACAAGTAGATTGATGGTGGTGTTGTGGGTCTACACGATTCTTGTATTTGTCTTTCTAAAGGTATTTTAGATATTTTCCAATAATCAAACATTTTACTTGAACTATGCACCAAGTCAACCAATGCAATTTTCAAGGAACCAAGTGTCATTTTTGGAATTTCGCTGGCATATCATCTATACCTCGAATATGCAGCCTCTTGCATTCCCTATTATATACTGGACTTCGAATATGCAGCCTCTTGCATTCCCTATTATATACCAGACTTCGAATGTGCAGCCTCTTGCAGCTTCTTCTTCTTCTTTCTGGATTTAATTATCCTAGTCAACATGTGCAATGGATCTTGGTTGCCTAATCAGAACTTATAGCCCAGGTCATCAATCTTCTGTACCATATGGATTTTCTGAGAAACCTTGTCTCAATCCTTGAGCGATGTTTCTGTAATCCACTGTTCCACTCCCGTATGGTTCATAAGTTAGACAGTCCTACAATTGGTCCAGCTTTGGATGCCTTTGCATTTCTTGTCATTGTGGCTGATTACTCTTCCTCCACCTACGAGGTTTTTGTAGTCAGGTTTTTTTCATTGCGTCATACTGTAGCTACCTGCCAAAAGCATCTTCAAACCACAATATACTATCTGGTTCCAAAGTCTTACTCAGTTCCATCTTTTTGGGAACTTTCACCTCAAAACCTCATATAGCGGAAACCAACTTTCACACATTGCTATAGATCATTCAGCTGAAGACACTTCTAAGCTTAAACAATTTCTTTATGTCCCAGTTTTGTTCTCTTGCTTGTAAGCTATCTTAAGTTTTGAATTATCAGTGTTCTTCTATGTTCAGATAACATCCTATGAAATTACAAAATAGTTAGAATTGGGTTCTTTTATCTATTATATTATATTTTTCATAATTTGATTATATCCTAGATTGGTGAGATCATAAAAACTTTATTCCTGCTCTCTATTGTTCACTGCTGTGATTGCTCTGCTCAACAAAGCTCCTATGGTGACTTAAACGATCTGGCTGGAAATGTTCTTTTTCTTTTAATTTGTGTTTCAAGAATCCGAAAGTAGCTCTAGCAAGATGTAATGCCTATGTGATCCCTTTTGTTCATATGGCTTACTAACTTATGATGCAATTCTCAGGCATTTTGGGACTACGTAGAAAAAAAGCAACTTGGGACCACTAAGGCTGAATGGTCAGTGACGAGTGAATGGTCCCCTGATGGACGCTATTTCATGACCGCCACAACAGCTCCAAGGCTACAAGTTGACAATGGGTATGTTCTTGTTGAGCTGCATTCTGCAACTGTAGAGAGCCATCTCTGTTTTTTGAAACTTTGTGACATAAAGTAACAAACTTCTTGTGTCTTTCAATTATTAAAGAATTATTTTGGGGGGAGGGGGAGAGGTGGGCTTTGGGGGTGAGATGTAGACAGACCTGACCTCTACCCTTACACAGTAGAGCGACCGTTTCCGTTGAGACCCCCCAGCTTGTGAGATGTGTGCAAGATATGTAGAAAGTATCCCCGAAGAAATAAAGGAAAATGCAAAAGGTGAGGCGAGGCGAGGCGAGGCCCAAAGACGAACTTGAAACAAGAAAGAAGAAATAAGACACAAGACACAAGAAAATTGAGTTAGATGTAAACAAAACCATACAGGCAGAAGTAGGTACAGGAAATCACAGCCGAGGTAAGAAAAACCACACACCCTAGCTGTAACATAGCACCCTGGTATCCTAACTGCCAATTCACTAACCGTACCCTCAACCCTCTATACCTCCTGCTCCCAACCATGGTAACTATAGTCCCTGCCCCTAGTCTGCTACCCTAATCCCGCATCTCCAAAGACACCTATCAGAGGTCATCTCCTTGGAAATGTCTAACACCATCATGTCTAACCTCAACTTTTCATCTCATGTCCTCCTCGGCCTACCTAGAGATGGAAACAAGGTCGTGGGTATCAGGGATCGCAATCCCCATCTCAGTACCCATCCTCGTCGGAAAATAAGATTTCATCCCCATCCCCATCGGCGAATAGGGGATTTTTCAGCGTCTACACAATTTAATTTTTTACAGAATGTTTTTATATATTATGTATATAAATGTCAATTTTACGTTTAAACGACATATAATGCTAAAATATGTATCACCCTTTTTTAATTGTTGCATTTGTATAAGAGTAACGCCAAAAACATAGTTCAAGCACAAATATATCAATTACGATACTTAATAATTAAAATTTTATATAATCGTGATGTGCACAACTCCCAACACCACTCTTAACCTATCCATGATGTGCACAACTCCCAACACGCTCGAAAGACCTCATTCGGTATCCTGTCGAACTTGGTCCGGTCAAAGGTCCATCTAAGCATTCTTGTTTCTGCAACTTCCAACTTCCAACTTCAACTCATGGGCCTTCTTTGTCGGGTAACGCTGGACCATACAACATAGTTGGTCTAATGGCTACCTATAAAATTTTCCATCAGTTTTAGTGGGACCTTGTCGCACAACACCATTGTGGCAGCCCTCTACTTTAGCCACCCTGTCTTTATGCAATGTGTTATGTCATGATTGAACTTGCCTCCCTTTGGAATCATGGAGCCTAGATACTTAAACCTCCCCCCTGTTGACTTCCACCCCTTTGTCGATATACCCTCCATCATGGTTTTCAAAATCGTTTGAGGCATACGCCTCAAGATGTGCCTCGACGCAAGGTGGTGGGACTCTGAACATAAGGTGCTGCCTCAAGTGAACTGAATGAAACGTATGCCTCAGGCAGGATGAGGCGGGCCTTGAGACGCCTGAGTTGGGCCTTGAGATGCCTGAGGTGGCGAGGCATGGGTTAGAAACTAGGTTTAAAAATTGACTTGGGGTTAAATTAACTTACTTTATCCCTTTGCTCGTACCCCCTCCTCCAGTTGTGACTTAGCTGCTCTGTCTTCCTCTCCGCTTCTACCATCTTGTTTCAGATTGAAGAGTGATAGCCAGAAGGTATTCCAATACAGCAAGACTGATATGAGGAAGGGCAAGACCATGACCTTTTGTTTTTATATAGGAGGATTTTTCATGTGTGATTTTAGATTTCCTTTTTGTTAAGTGTGTGATTTTAAGTCTCTCTCTATGGATAAATGTGCGACTTTAATTGTCTTTATGGATAATGAGTGACTTTAATTACTTTGTTAACAAAAATTAGTATATTTATTACATATATGAAAATAATTTTGAGACTATTAATGATAATTTTAAATATTATATAGGCAAAGGATCGTGTGACAAGGGAAGTTATAGTAAGAAGCGTAAGAAGAGATCTGAACCCTTAATCACTTTTAATCTCATGCCCACCTATTAATTGCGCTTTAGAAGGGAATTGATCCGGTGCATCTCGGTGCACCTCATTAGTCTTGACATTCAATTAGGATTGATCCATTCTTAAGCTTCTCACCATAACTTCACTTCCCATTGGAACCCAACCCTATATATATGTAGGCGTAGGATCGTGTGAGAAGGAGAGTTAAGGTGAGAAAGGTAAGAAGGGATTTGGACCCGTGATCACTTTTAATCTCATACCCACCCATGAATCGTCCTTGATACAGGGATCGACCCGTTGCATCTTGGTGCATCTCATCCTAATGTGCATCCAAGGATGGAGATCCCTTCTTACGCTTCTCACCGGGACCCAACCCTATATGTATATATAATTTTTTTTAGTTTACACCTCACACGGCCTAGACGCTTATGCCTCGGGGTGTGGAGGGAAAATTTCTCTAGGCCCGATCTCGGTTTTTAAAACCTTGCTCTCCACTAAAATTGCACCATATGTATTCGGTCTTAGAGCAGCTAATGCATAGGCCTTCTGATTCCAAAGCATTCATCTCTACGTTGGAACGCTACCATCACAATGGTGTCTGCAAATAACATACATAATGGGGGACTCCTTTGGATCCCTCGAGAAATCTCATCCAGGATCACGACAAGTAGGAATGGCTTTAACGCTGATCCTTGGTGTAGCGCTATATCCACAAGGAAATACTCCTCTCTCCCGGGTTACTACATTTCATAATCGCCCTAACATAACTCCATCATACTTCCCTCTTCTCTAGACTCCTCCAAATCACGTCTCATGGTACGCTATCATAAGCCTTTTCCAAGTCTGTGAACACCTTGTGTACGTCCCTACTATGCTCCCTATACTTCTCCATGAGGCATATGAGGAGGTTTATTGCCTCATTCATAAATCGGCCTCACATGAAACCATATTGGTTCTCCGTCACCTCCGTTCACCTCCGCACCCTAGCCTCAATCACTTGCTCCCATGATTTCCTAGTGTGACCAAGTAAATTTATGCTTTGATATTTACCACAATGTTGTGTGTCACATTTTTCTCTTATACAAAGGCACCACCATACTAAGCCTCTGCTCTTCAGGCATCTTTGGCAGTCCTAAGTGTGACATTGAAAAGCTCTTCCAACCAGTGTACCCGCCTCTCCCAGACAAAGCCATACCTCAATGGAAATTTTGTCTGGGCCCACGGCCGTAGCGTTCCTTTAGTGCCCCATCACTTCTTCTGTGCTACTTCGCCGACCAAAACAAAAGATTGTGTGCCTCAGATGCCCCCCAACCTCTACCTTCCTTTCCCTTTTCCCTGCCTCGTTAAATAATTATTTGAAGTAAAAGGAGCAATTTTGTGGCATAAAATTAGAACACTTGGGAGTTTTTTAATTTTAAATTTGGTACTTTCTAACATGAATTAATTATAAAAAATTGGTTGCCAATCATCATATTACACTGTAGTTTTTGTTAAAGTTCAATGCTTTAAAAAATAAAGTTCAAAAAGAAGTATTTGGTATCCTTGACGAATTTGAACTTACAAAATAACTATAGGATTTTCTAACAGAGGCAATACCAAAGAATTTTGGCAGGCAACTGCAGCTGACTCTTAAATGTTCAAGTGTTGTAGCAATGGCTACCCTAGTTTTCAGTTTTGTTTCTTTCTGCAAGATGGAAGTGATAGATCACTATTGTTATAGTACTCGTTGATGTTTAGAATTGATCCTATTACAAAACAAGGCTCATTTGCTAACGCTTGTATTGTTGTAGGATTAAAATCTTCCATTACAATGGGTCATTATTCTTTAAGAAGATGTTTGAGAAATTGTATCAGGTAAGTTTATTTGGTATTCATATCTCATCGAGGTTTGCAAACTTGTGCTGTTCTTTCATTTTTGTCCTACTAGTTGCTGGGCTAACTCTTCTCACAGGTCGATTGGAAAGCAGATTCACCTGATAAATTTGGTGAAATTGAAGAACTTGTCAAGTCTGTTGGCTCATTAAAAGTGGAAAGCAAACCACAAGGTTCTCTATGCGTAGACTTCTTATTATTTGTTTTGGACCAAAATTTTGCATTGTTAAACTGAAGTTGTCTTGTTATCATTTAGGACAAGGGTCAAAATCTTCCCAGACCTCTGTGAAACCAACTTCCACCAATCCTCCTGTTCAGAAGAAACCTGCTGCATATCAACCACCTCATGCAAAGGCTGCAGCTGCCAAACAGACAGAGGTGCAACCGATACATTTTATCATATATTTTGTTGGAACTAAATATCATGACCCTACAATTTAACTGTTCTAGTCTGTAGAAAAACAGCACATCAGTAAAACGGGATGAAAGTTGGCAACTAGTAGCAATGGATAGGTTCAAATGAGAACCTGGGAACCCAGCGACTCATGCTTTATTCATAATTGAATGTCGTGATAGATATTGATGATAAAAATCATTCATGTTGAAAACACATGATTATTCATCATGAATAATACATGAAATAGTTGGTTTCCAGTTTTTCAAAATATTTACGGTTCCCGTTTGAACTTTCCTCCTAGTGGTGTTACCCTGGAAACAATTTTAGGGGTGGAGTCTGCACAAATACTTCCTTCCCAGCCCTCTGAAAGCAATTTTCATTGTCGCCCTTTTTACAGTTAGCGTTATATCTCCCTCCCCTCCTCCCAAGGTTGAGGTGCAAATATTAGGTTCTTGTTGGATACAAGTCTCTGCCTATAAAATGTAATCTTTAATGGCTTGGTCAGCAAATTTATTTTGTGGTATTTCTGACATGGTAATTGTTGATGCAGCTCTTTGGAGGAAGCCCTTCAGGGTAAGTATTACATTCTCCTATTTCATCATACAAACTGGCAGAAATAGATGCGTCTCCATGCATTTATATTATCACCTGTTTTCTGTTGCAGAGAAATGAGTAAGAATGCATTAAAAAACAAGAAAAAGAGGGAGAAACAGAGGGAGAAGAAGGCTGCAGAAGCTGGTGGTGCAGATTAAAAAATGGTCTTGGATCACTAATACAAATCTTGTTTTCTTGGGGGCTTCCGACATTTTTCGTCAGTCACCCCTTCAGATTTGCGACTTCCGGCTGAGGTATTTTGGTTATCTATTGAACAATCTCAGGGACCAAGTTGGCCTCGCCTCATGTACCCATATAATTATTTGATCAACTCTTGTCCTTATTCTCTAATTTGTTTGCACCAACCATGCACATTTGCCAATGATCAATGGCTAGTTTTAGGTGAGAGCAGTTATGGTTGATCTGGGACCAGCTGCTGCCTAACCTGGCCCGGTTGGTCCAGTCCCTGTTTTCTAATATGGGACTCGGTTATGGCTGGTCCTTCTCAAGGATTTGGTTGAGGTGCATGATTGGTTATAAAAGATAGGTCAAAAGGTCCAAGACTAGTCACTTTACCTTCGTACATTTGCAGACCCGGGTAATAAAATATGTGATCCCAATATTAGTTGTCTTTTTCTTAGTACACTTGGTCATATGAAGCCAAAACATCAATTTATTGAACACAGAAAAAAAACATGAATTTATATAACTTGATATCAAATAACATAATGATGGTTATTCAAGTTATTGGTGGGATAAGAAAGAGGAACATCATATCTTTACGAGTAAATTACGTTTCTTGTCTTTGTGGTTTGTTATAAATCGTGGATTTTGTCCTTGTGATTTTGAATTTGCGGTTTTTGCCCTTATGATTTGTAATTTATTTCTATTTTGGTTGTTGAGGCTAAATATTGATTTTAAGTATGAGAGACTAAAAAAGAAATGGAATGTAATTCACAGGACAAAGCAATCAATGAAGTTTAAGTCACAAGGACAAAAAAAAAAAAAAAATGGTAAAGAATTATAAACCATGGGGATGAAAATTGTAATTTCAAAATCATAGGGACTAAAAACGTACTTTACTCTTATTTTTAGTCGGATTAATAAGGTACACGCACGATGTTGTGGTTTGCATCTCGATTTAAAATTTAATACTTAAAATGACAATCATGTCTCATCTTTTTCTCTTTCTTTGTCCGTCCCGATGTTGGTTGTATACATATAGCTGAATATAAATTTTATATAGATTTAAGCAAAAATACCTTGTAGAAATAGTTTTTACCAAATAAAACATATATATAGATCCATTTTACATTGCTTTCTCATATGTTAACATTATATTAGAGGATGAGAATATGCCAAAAAGGTGTTTTTCAGTGAATCATAATGATATTTACGGTAAATGCTTAAATACATGCTTTTGAGTTTAAACATGCTAATACCTTCTTTCATAAAATGGGGACCAACTCATATAAAATACTTTTTCATAAAAACACTACTTGTATAGTTCTCTTAGAAAAATAAAAATTAAATAATAGTTAAAAAATAAGTTTACATGATGCTCTTGACCTAACCCGAAAACCCAGGTTCTTGGCTTTTGGTTAAAATAATTGAATTTTTTAGCAAGTGAGTTTCTTCACAGTATCAGTAAAAAAATGCTTTGTACCAGTTCTCTTTTCAACCAGTGAAGATCAATATTAACTGTTTCTCAAGCAGGATTTATATAACATATGTCAATCTCTATAGACAAAAATTTGAATAAATATGCAACATTTGGGTATAATAGTTTTAACATTCAAACTTTGCAATAAGGTTTACTGGTCTAACATTTCTAAAAATTAACTGTGAACATATATATGTAAATTGTGAAAATTAACTGAATGTGATATACGTAAAAAGTATGAATAAGTTGTATCAAATGGTTGATGATGAAAAAGAAATTATGAGTAGAGAAATATTATATTCAAAGTTAAAAAAATATTTTAATGTACCAAAGTATCAACCCGACCAACCCGTACGGGTTGGGTTGCATTTTGGGTTGCACTTTGTTTGAGTTAAGATTTTTTCAAACCGCAAACATTAAATTGATTTGCTCAAATGTCTTCAATCCAATCAACCTAACCCATGAACACCCTTCTTTAAAATAAAAAAAGTGATGCTAATTCGGATATCGAGGTTCACAACTTTGTAACCTCCATGATAGAAACCCCACGATGGCTACTTTTCCCTTTCCAAGGTCCAACCGCCCTAAACCACCCTCTTTTTACATTCTTCAACATACCCGTCTCCTAAAAGTAACCTTACACCATTTGTTAATAGTCTTTTTCAGTGTCTATATAATTTTAAAATAAATTAATTAAAATAATCATTTTTATCAATTGATTTTACCTCTTAACCACTTCTTTATAAAATTTACTAAAATAATGCTAGTTCCATAATTTTAATTTTTTTTACGAACCTAAGTGAGAAATGTAATTTTTTACGGATCTGAGTATAAAATGTAATTTTTTTTACGGACCTTAGTGAAAAATGCAATTTTTTTCGGACAGGAATAGGAAGTGTAAAAATAATTTTTTTAGTTGGTTCCGCAATTACGGACGTAAATTTTACGAACCTATGACTATTTTGGTAAACTTGAAAATAATAATAATTAGTAGATGAAATTAACCTTGAAAAATGATTATTTTAATAAATTTCTAAATAAAAAGCAAAATAAGAATTTTAAAAAAATTATATTATGTTAAATAATTTATTATATTGGAGATTCAATATTAAATTATAATATTAAAATATTTATCTATTTGATAGTTTAAAACAACTTTAAAATAAGGTTTTATAGAGTGACATGTTTTTATGTCATCTCTTAGATTTTATCACGATTAAGAGAAGAGGAAATAGTACAAATGATGAAAATATCATGGTATATTTAAGAGAATGATCATTTTTCTAGTATTTGTACGAATTACTTGTATTTTTGTCAAATAATTCATCCATCTTTGACGAAAGTATGTGTGAGACCCACATGCCATAAAAACTAAGTGATTCGCCATGCATTACTTCAATGTCCCATGTATTATGTGGTGTTGAGGAAAATGCTGAAAAATTAGGTCCCAGTTATGAAAAAGTTGTAATTTTTTGGAAAATTGTTACACATTTTCTCCAACCTTAATTCTCCATTGGCGAATTTGTTTTTTTTTGTCTGATTTTCTAGATCAAACACATTCATATATCCACAATACTATCTCAAACAAATATAAATTCACGTCATGTGGATCAACAACAAGTATCTGAGGAGATTCGAGATGAACTTTCTCAGGTCTTGTGGTGATGGCTTCACCAATGGTAGGGACAACTACCATGTGATCATCAGCACATGTTACACAGACCAAAGAAGGAGGGGAGGAGAGAATGAATGAGAAAGTAAGTGGAGGATCAATAATGGCTATGTTGGTATTCATACATTCAGTTATTTGGGTCACTGAAGTGGTTGAGATAGGAGCCACGTGTACAGCAGCATATGTTACACAGACCAAAGAAAGAGGGGATGAGAGAATGAATGAGAAAGTAAGTGGAGGATCAATAATGGCTATGTTGGTATTCATACATTCAGTTATTTGGGTCATTGAAATGGATGAGATAGGAGCCACGTGTATGGCAGCATATGAAGAGATAGCTGAAGAGATTGGGAGGGTTGCAGAAGGTGCCTCGGGAGTAAGGCTTTTTTCAATAGTTGAGACCTGTTGGGAGGTCTCAGCTAGATTGCTTGGCATTCTCTTTTTAGCTTTCTTAGCCCTCTTTGAGGGACTAAGAGGGGCTTCAAATTGTGTCCTCTTGCGAGAGGATAAGGTTGTAGTGGCCAGGATAGACTGAGGGGGGTTTGCCACAGTCTTAGCCACTTAAGAAGAAGTAGAAGGAGGAGGAAGTGGACGAGCATTGGCTATTCTCAGTATGGGAGCGAATAGGAATGTCCGAAGGCTTGGTCTTGTGATCAAGAATCCTTAATCCAAGTCGACAGATAGGGAGGTCACCTTCAGTGGGCTACTTGGTAGAGAGGATCCTGGAAAGAATTTCACTGAGGAACTTGGTGTAGGGGAGAGCTTTCTCATACTGACGCTTGTTCAGCTTCGGCACCAGATTGTCAAAAATCAGCTTGGCGAAGTTGATGTTGATTTCTCTTATCGCTAAGCATCCGATGTTCAGCGCCACACGACTAGCTTGATCTTATTCGCCTGTCTTTCCACCCATGCACTAAATAAAGTGCGAAAATAGGTACTGCCAGACTATAGACATCCTGTTCTTCTTAATCTTCATCAGCAACTTGTTGAGATCAGTAGAAGAGTCTTTCTTTAGAGGCCAGTTGTAGCCAATATAATCTAGAATCTTGATGATATGCTCCATGTTTGGGTCTCTGGCAAAAGTAACGGACTTGGGAAGGCAAATAGCAGTCCGCACGGTTGAGAAACCAAAAGTTACTTGCAGCTGGTTGATCTCACAGACAATCTAGTCAATAGAGTTGTCATTCTTGTCTTGGACCGTCTTTATTTCAGTGGTGTACCAAAACTGCTTCAGAAGGTCCTTCACCATTACTGGTTCGAAGGTAAGAGCATATCCAAGTACAGAGTTCTTTATGAACTTAGCAACATCTGCAAATTGTGGTTTGTTGTAGGAATGTCCAAAAGAGCCACATGGTTGTTTTGCTTGAAAGTGATGTCCTCCAAAGCAAAGTTAACACATTTAGCAGCATCCATTTCTGTAAAAGAAGAATAACATAAAGGAGTACTGCACTGATTAATGTTAGAAAGACACCTTAGGACAAAGTTTGAAAGAAAAACTTTCTTTTGAAAAACTAGAAGAAGAATAGGGTTTTCAAGAAGATTAGGGTTTTAGAAACTAGGTTAAAATAGAAGAAGAATGATTCTTACCTGTTGTTTGTATTTGAAAGGAAGAAAAAAGTCTTTTAAATAACAAACACGCTTCTTAGAAGATTAACAACCAAAAAATAAGATGAACAAACCTGTTTCTGGAAAGAAAGAGTAGAAAATTGGTTCATTAAGGTTTTTCTGGGAGTTTTTATTTGCACAAAGTTCTTGAGAGAGTGTATTTGTATAAGCATAAAGAGAAATATGAGAGAGTAAGTCTTATATTTATAGGTGAGATGAGAAAGAAAAAAGAGAGATAAAGAAGAGAGAGAAAAATGACGTTTCGAAAAGATGTGCAATGATAAATTTCTTTGCACGTCATCATATTTTCACTGGGTAGAAGATAAAATGGACCGTGTGTGTCAGAAGGACGTTCGTATTCATCATCCTTTTTCTTTTAAAACAAAAGTCACTGAATAAGAAAAGTTCAGTGATAGTTTTAAGTATATAAAAGAAAAATATATCTTAAGAGTAAGATACATTTAGTGAAGGGTTCAGTGATAGAGAAACATTAAATCATTTCTTCTTTAAAACATTTTAATCACTGAATAAGAAAAGATTCAGTGATAGTTTTGTTTTAAAAAAGAAAAGTAGATATACCTTGGAGATATACTTACTCAAGAGTTCAGTTATAGAAGGAAATAATGAAACATCTCTTTTAAAATATTTTAATCACTGGATAAGAAAAGATTCAGTGATGGTTTTAAGATT